CCCAGGGACAGTCTTCAAGAATACAGGGTTTTGCCCAAATGTGATAAGCCTTATTTTGTAATTTAATCACAAATGACCAGGCTCTGCCCATTGTAACAGCTGAAACAGGCCAAGGAACAGAAAAACTCTTTGGGATTTTGCTGGCAGCCATACAGCAGCTAATAGCAAGGCCCAAAAGCAAGAAGAGACAGGTAGCCTCCTTCACCAAACCACTCCCAGCCCACATAGGTGCTGCCAGCCTCACACTTCTTACAGGGGAGCAACCACACGGGGACCCCCAGCTCACCCAGGAAAGTGCAGGAGAGAGCAAAGCCAGCAGCATGCACACATGGTCACAAGAGGACACCTCCTCCAGCCTTCACTAATGCCAAGTCCAGAGATAGGGCAACATTTGAGTACTCCCTCTCCCAAATTCTCCTCACTCGGGTCCCTCCTCCACCTCTTAGACAGTACAATTTTATTCGTCCTCACGGACAGAGGTCCCCCTACACTCAAGGCATCTCTGCTCAGGTATGCTCCACTCTCTGTTGTTCCACCAGCCCTCTGCACCGGGCAGACACACCAGCAGCATCACGCACAGGGAGACTACATGCACACACAAAGAGAGGTATCTGCACCACTTCTTTTCCTGTTCTACAACCCGGTGTATCCAGAGTCACAAATTGCAAGACACTGCCTGAATAAGCAATTTTAAAAAATAACAGAGACCCTTAGGACTTAGTCTGCATTACACAGGCAATGGGATTAGCTCAGATACAATCCAGTGGCCACTCTCAACTGTTCGAGGACTACCTGTGTAATGTCCAGGCAAATCTTCCTTCAATTCAAAGGGGGTTTGGCTGCCTTCTTGGTACCTACCTGCTTCTGCAGGTCTAACGTTCAGGTACCACTGATGACAGCAGAGCAGAACCCCACCTCTGTTCTGCCTGTGGAATAAGATGGGCTTTTCCACATGTGATGTTGTCCAGACAGTAAGTTTCTCCTCCAAGGACTGTCAAGAAATCAAGTGCAAAAGATAGGATGCCTAAATCTCTATGTGGGGTACAAAATACATTTCTAGCTGCTGAGGCTCAGTGTTCAGAGTGAAGAAACCTGGAGGATGTCTTACTGCATGTAGTGCTCCCTGCAAAGGGAACAGGACAGACTACAAAGGGGGCACAGGCTGGCGTGACCAGGCCACCGAGCTGCCAGGGTGTTCTCCTCTCCAGCAAACAATACAACACCTGATCTTCAGATCTGTCAGCTTCCCTGCCAGCCTCATAACCACAATTTTAGCAGCTGCTGTCTCTCTCAGACATGCACACAAGAACACAAATGCAGCTCCTCAAGTAGCTGCAAAATTCAAGCTTAGCCGGGTAGGTAGGGCCTCTTGTAAAGCACTTGAGATTCAGGGAGAGAAGTAGCTTCAAAAATTTGGAGGAATTGCCTTATGACAGGATTTGAGAAGGCTCCATCCCTGGCCTCCTTAGTCCACCAGCTCTTGAGACAGCACTATTGAACTGCTGCAGGGGGAAAAAGCATGAAAAGAGACAGCAGCGGATGCCTGAGGCTGGCTGAGATGATGTGCAATAGCTAGAGAAGCCTGCTGATGGCTCTTACTTGTCCTCCTACCTAATATACTCTCCTCATGCCTGATTTCTCCTCTCTGCAATCAACAGCAGAGAAATGTAGACAGGTCACCAGGAGCAATGCAGCAGCTGTGAGAACTTCCAGGCTGAAACACATGACGTGGTCCATAGAAGCCAAGGCTTTTCCCTAGCTGAAATCACCCATAAATGGAGCATGAGGGTGCAGCCCTATGCTGGCCAAAGGCAGGCAAGGAAAGCAACCATAGTTTCTCCAGCTCCAGTTCCATAGAGTACTGTGATTCCTCTCCATCTGAAACCAGCTGCAACTTAATAACAAAATCAATCCAGAAAACAACGCTAAGCAACTTGCTGTCAGTGCCGTATCCCACCCTGCCAAAAGTATTTGCCCTCTCCATGGCCCTCTGTCAAGGAGCTTACTGCTTGCCAGGTTTTGTTATTCAGCTACTGTTGGCAAGTCCAGAGGCTTGGCTGGATTAGCAAATAAAACTCCAAGAAAACTTCTGCAACCATCCTGGTGATAAACTCCACACAGAGATACTGTCAAGAGCAGCTCTCCCCCATCTCAGGCACTTTGATCAAGGGCTGAGAGGTGCTGGTCTCTGGCCATTACCATGGTCTGCAGGTCTGTGAGTTCTTGTGCTGCCACACTCTGTACAGAGGATGTAAGACATGGAGAGCAAACACCCTGAACCTGCTCAGAGAGCAGAACAAGCTGCTTTGGGCAAGAGCATCTGGCTGAAGAATAGCCTGCTTGCCCATGGTGACATGCTCAAGACGTGGGTAAGACACTCTCCAAAGTCTCCTGTCCCTCATGTGAACTTTCTTTTGGAATAGCAGCTGGGAAGGAGCACCTTGGCATGACTACACACACAGTGGTGCTCCTTGGTGTGGGGCCTGTGCTGGAACACGCCTTCCCCCAAGGTCAAACCGGAATCAAGGTCCAACTCATTGGCTTCACTGTCACCCAAGAAAGCCTGAGCACTTCCAGTCTCACTCACTCAAAGCAGCCCAGGACAGGTTTGTTGTTGATAAGCACAGCCTTCAGTCAGTCACAGTGTGAGCCCCAGGGACTTCCCCATGTCTCTGCTACCAGTACTCCGCTCATCCCTTTGCAGGAGGCATCTCTTTTGGTCACCCTATACTGGACTCCCTTTACATGTTCTTGTGCAGCCACCAGCCATTTTTCCCTGTTGCTAGAGCAGGCTGTTCTCATCCATGCTTTTCTACCCAGCTCTGCTGGACAATTCAGGACCAGCTCCCAGGTGACATAGCAGTGCCAGAGCATAGCCTGCAGCAGCTCCCCAGACACCTGCACCATGAGCAAGGATTTCATTCCAGAGAGGGCCCTGTAAACTTTGCACCTTCATCTCCCCCTCAGCCACCATGCTGGGACCTTTCTCTCTCCTCCATCCGACCCATCAGCACCTGCCTCCCTCAGGTCTCCCGGAAGTCCCATTTCCTCCCTGACCACTCTAATGCTCACCTAATGGTGCATCATCTGCAGCGTTGTTCATACATATTCAATAAATTAGAATCCAATTACCAAGTTAAGATAATTGGAAGCAAATGCAATTAGGCCCAGCCCCTCCCACATGTTATGCCCTCACTTCCTCCTTAATGACAACTTCTCCTTTGCAGAAGCACTCAGCGCAGCATCTGTCCACCCAAGAACAAGGTGGTTGCCAGTGCACAGCAGAGACATGGTGACGGGGTCAGCCAAGTCAATCTTCGCTTTAAGTTGGGCAGGTGGTTAATATCTCTGACATTAATTCTCACAGGAATAGTGCACTTGCTCTCCGCTCAGCTGTACCAGGCATCTGTCAGGCCTGACAGCTCCTCTCTGGAGAAAGGAACATCTGGTCCTTACTATGAAAAGGAGCTAAAATAATAAATAAATAAATAAATAAGAACTTTGCTTGCTACAGGGCTAGAGAACTACAGCCTAAGTGCTGTATTTGGACTGGAATAGGGGAAAATCAGAGACTGGTCCGATGCTGGGAACTGAGTAGCTCTGACCTGGGCAGCAAGGTGCCACAGCTGGGTCCAGCACAGAGATCCTACTGGAGCAAGATTTCCCCCAAAATGACTCCCAGGAGAAGGCAGTAGAGGATGGCTGCTGCCAGCCGGCTGGGATGTAATGCCAAGCACAGCTCCTCGGGAAAGA